ATAAGAAAGAGAGGTGTTATTCTTCTGTTTATTCAGGTAAACCGAGTTTAGATGTTAAAGCGAATTTCGCAGCCGTTCAAGCCTTCAGAGATGAATACAAGGATCGTCAATACTGGCACCATCCAGACGGAAACAACAGGAATCAAGTGGATTACAAAGGCCGCACATACTGGTGCGTTCCAACTTCAAAAAACATCCGTAGAAGAGGGTAATTATGATGATGATGGTATTCAATACTTATTTACGAAGTTAGTTCCGATTTATTGAAAACCCAATAGATAGACGTTTTACCGTTCTTCATCCTGAACCTTGTGAAAAACACTTTGACTGCGTTTGTGTTGATTTTATTTTTGAAACATTGTATTATTTTTAATGCTAGTGAATATTTGATTATAACTGAAATTTCTGCTTCTGATGAACATGATTAGAACGCTATTTTTTCCCTATTATCATTTGATTATTTAAAGAGACATGTTCAATAAATAAATACCGTCATAATTACCTCAAGGAGTATTGGAATGGGTAACCAAGATAAAATGTGGATTATGCAGTATGTCTTTACCTAAGGAAGTGAAAATTTATTGGACGGTCTACTTGAGCAACATATGTCAGAGAAAGCTGTCTCTCAGTAAAAAGCTCGTAGACCCTCCAGGTAGCTGTTTACCAAATATTTATATTTCAGAATAATGAGTAGTTCGCAAAGATTGAGACACCGCACACAAAAGTTTCAGCAGGCATTTTCCTGAGTCACACGTAATTCGTTACCATTTCGTCGGGTAAATGCCTGCCATTCGACAACCACAACAGATAGAGAGGTTGGCCTTGCGCAGAACTGTAGAGAACACTTTGGGCTATCTAGCCACCCTGTTACATCATTCAAATTCAACCATCCTCTTCAAAGTGTGTAGAGCCACTCCTTAACTGCAGTGTGAAACTCTTGCCAGAACTTTTATACGTAGCCTAGTTCCTTAGATCATTCCGCACACAATTTACAGAAATAGATACCTATTCCAGCATCAGTTCTGCAGTTAACTGGAACTGCCTAGAACTGGAACTGCTCAGAACGGGAGCTATTCAAAACTGGAGCTGTCAGGAACTGTTGCAAAACAATTTTGAAATGAATTCAAAAGAAATTCTAAATTCTATTGAAGGAAATGCAGGTAAAACCTCAAAAGTCTTTTAATAGGAACGCTTTTTGAAGCTCGAATTTATGGGCTATAAGTAATCGATTATAGAATTTATAAATGGACTGCTCCTGTGATTCACATAACTCACTGACGATCTCTATGAAGCCTTATGAATTTCCACTGATTTTTGAACTTCTTACCATCAGGTTGATGGTAAATATAGTGGACACACTAGCAGAAGCAGTGAGTGCTCTTACAGATACTCCATCAGAAATAACAGCCGAATCATTAACTTCAGCAGCATTAACCGAAGCAGTTATCTTGTCGTCTGCTAATACTATAGAAGCTACGATTGAACCACTAGTACCTGTTGCAACAGGATCCAGTCGTGTTCCACAGCCCTTTGTTGCAACATCTGGTAGATCTGAATATGGCACAATGAGTGAACAGAGACTACGAATTAACAACGTAGTGATGATTCGTGGGTACTTTGAATAAGTGTTACGGCAAGTGTATCAATAGATGTACACAACATCTTTTTGAACGAACCTCTTTTATATGGTGTAAACTAGGTTTTTCTTCAAATTCAATAACAGAGCAATAATAACCTCATTATTTCTTGCATTCATATTTTTGACAGTTCTGGCATCGTTGGTGAGATACCCTCAATCATAGAACTGGGAAGCTGAAAATCATTTTTGAAGGTCAATTTCGTTAATCACAAATGTTAGTAGCAATACTGGTGCATTTTCGCATTTCTAGTTCAATTTATTGGGAGTGCTGAATTTAAGGCTTGATATGGCCTCAAACTGTAAGAAAAAATAGTTTGTATGAAAACCGGTTTGTGATGGAAAATATTTGAAAATACTAGAAGGGTCTTTAATTTCGACAATCCGTACTACTGAGGCAAATATCAAAAAATTTTGTTCTGTTCCATTTTGAAGTTCTCTAACTTATTTTGCCTGATTTCCCGTATGAAACTGACTCTAGAACTATTATTTAGAGCTTGATCCAATATCATATGGCCAATAAAAAAATTCATAATCAAGGACACCTTAAAGGGCGCCAACAAAGTTTGCAAACCTATCTAGTTTTTTCTGCTAAGGGACGGAGCCCATATTTACACTGAATTCGATTCGTCTTTGCATGCGCAAAACTAATATTAGAGCTTTTTTGAAATTCACTTCCGTTGCTGAAAAAATTCTTTTTTTTTAAATCTGAGGCGAAAAAGTCAGAGTTCTACTCGTAATTGTCAGGTTTCTCTATCAGAGCTCAACTTTTATGCCATAAGAATATCATACTTCGAAACAGGGCCAGAAACTGAGTCGACTGATGTGGATTTATATCCCATTCAACTACTTTAGCTTTTGTCGAATTTTCACGTTGAAAATTTATCGAGATTTTCACCAAAAAATGTAAATCAACTAAAAATTTCGAAATACAAATTAGTCGACTCAGTTTTTGACCCTGATTCTGACTATCGAGACTGGACCGTAGGAGGTGTCTGTTGTCTGACGATCCTCCT